TTTTTAGATGTGTGGAGAGCCAGACTAAACCCTCTTGTATAGAAATGGTAAGTGCACTTTGATCAGACAGATTTAGAGGGAGAGTTTACAGTACTCAGTGGTTTAAAACAAATGTATGGACGGAACAGAGCACAGGGATTCTTGTTATAGAACTATTTATGCTTTTGTACCAAGAGCTCTTAACTAGTACTAAAGTCAGTTCACATTTTGTACCAGCGTGGCCCTAACTCTTAGGAAGAACAAGCACACACACTTCTTTGTCTATGATCTCAGATTCCTTGTGCATCCAAAACTGCAAGGGCCAAAATTAGCCCTGGTGCAAGCCCATTAGACCAAATTCTGCCCTCATCTATGCTGGTGTATATCCAGCATCAATTAACTGACAGGAAAGAAGATTTCCAGGTTTGCTGTGGAACAACAGAGCAACAGAATGCAGATAGCTGACTTCAGTGGAGTTGCATATGATTACACCAGAACTGCATTTGATCTCTTTGATTCCAGTGGGAGTTTGGGGAAGAAGAACATCCTTAGCTCACCGTGCCATTGCAGCTCAAATGGTACAGACACCAACACCCTGCAATGCCACAATCAAAAGGGTGGGGGGAGGTGTGAAGTACATTCCTAATCATGTGTGTACACCATAGACATCAGTGGTGCATTTTGAACAGTCCCCTGTGATTATTTGAATGAAACCTTGAAAGCCTTGCATTGTCTTGGTTTCTCCTCCTCCCCTCCCCTCCCCCAGGAGAAACACTTCCACCACCAAATGCATGGTTTTGATTCAATTTTAAAATCTCCAGAGAAATTATCATCAGCTGTGTAAATCATTCTCTGGCTCCCTTTTAATAAAGGTCTGGAAGCTCCCTAAGGACCTGAAAGCATCTTATAAAAATCCATCTTGATCCCACACATCACAAGAGCCCTGGGAGATGCCACAACAGCTGAGCATGTGATAAACCTGTTTCTTCAACAAAATTCCAGCTCATGGCTAAACAACTTGTGAGCTATTCTTTTGTTTCCACATCATTTTGAAACACCAGAGTCAGATCACGTTATGGAATAACCCATTGGCAAAAAGCTCTATATATCATAGTAATTTTTGCACAGGGAGTTTCAAGTGCTTTATGCAACGATTAACTAACAGAGTGCCTCAAAACAACCTTGTGAGGAAGGTGGAAATTATTCCCTTCACTTTATCAGTGGGTGCCCTGAGACACAGATGTTATGTGAATTAGTGAAGGACACCAGGTTAAGTCAGTGGCAGAGCTTTGACTAGACCTGAGGCTTTCTGACATTCATTTCCCATCTCTAACCACCACATCTTTTAACACATTTTATTTCAATGTTCACAGCACAAAATATCACATTAAACCATAAACATCCAGTTTTATTGTCCTATAATTAAAGAAGAAAACAAAGCCAACATTTTTAAATGAGGGAAAGGGGAGGAGGAAGCAAACAAACAATAAAACCAGTGGTCCTGAGATTATTTATGCCTAGTTTTCAGCCTAGAACGAATTATTTTGCCTGAAATTTAAAAGTGAGAGGAAGGGGCAGGACTGATTATTGGAAAATGATGGGCTTGATCCTGTAAACTCTTATGCAAGTGATTCTTCCTCATCTGGACATCCCCTTTGGCATCACTTGCATTACTAGCAGGAGTAAGCAAGACCCTAAATACAGTATTAGTGAATGGGGCCAACTGAGTGAACTGGGAATCAAAGTGTCTCAATTTTTTTTTCAGAATGAAACTATTGACAACTGCAAATCAACTTTCTGTTCTTTGATGCCCCCTTCCCCAGACATCCAATATTCGTTAATCCTAAGGGTCCCACTCCATGGCTCACCAGACCCTCTTGGCCTCTTGACTGATTGCCAACTATGTTGCTGCAGGGTATCTTTGGAATGAGATACCAAATCAATCCACAAGGCCACCTTGATGTCAGATGGCAACAATTTATCGTTACACTAGCTTCAGTTCAGTTCAGAATAGTGAACTGCAGGTGAGAAAATCCTTCTAAAAATCTCCAACACCTGAGCTACTTCAACCCCTGGCTGATAGATCTTTAATTAAAAAGTACCATTGCTATTGTAATTTACTATTTGTATTAGAGTAACTCTTAGAGGTGGATTGAAGGGAGCTACTGTGCTGTGTTCCTATAAGAGACTGTCCCTGAAGAGCTTGCAATGTAGTTGTGTAGCTGTTCTCTTTTTCACTTTGATCCAGTAGTAAGAAACGAGACTTTGGATCTCTTTGTGCCTCCACAATTGTTTGGTCTCGGGGAGTGAATCCCCCTGTCTCAGTTTCCTTATGTATGGATAGAGATAACCTAATTTGATGGGTAAGGGAATTGGCAGACCTGGGTTTAGTTTCTGACTCAGGCATGGATTTTCTTTGTGAACTTAGACCAGTCACCTAGTTTATCTGTACCTCAGTTGCCCATATGCAATGTAGGAAGATGGTACTGCTCTACCTCCCAGGAAGGTTGTGAAGAATGCTTTACCAGGGGCATTGCAGTGATCAGAGTTTACTGTGGGGAGATCTACATCAACCTTGCCAGACTTTTCAGAGAGCGGAATAATTATACTGCCCATCACCACAAAGTATGTGAAGCTGCTGTGCGTGCTCTATGAATAGTATGTATATCACACATTTTCTGTCATGATCCTTTATTATAATCTTGGTGTTCAAGTGGCTGGCTTGCCTTCGTACACAGCCAATGCCGTTGTTTTGTTTTGTTTTTTACACTGTCCCAACTTCAGATAAGTCTGATTTTGATCTCTTGGTGCAAATCAGGGTCAGCACCACAGCGGGGTCACCTAGTTACATGCCTGTACCCCAGAGAAAAAAATGGCCAGGGGGCTTCACTGGTCTACGGCTCTTTCCCCACACTCAACCCCACTCGGTTCCCCGGATGGTTACGCGGGAGAAGACAGTGAGAGGGTGCCAGCTGGCTGGGAGGCAAAGAAGGGGAGCTGAAGAAGCGCGCACCTACCTTGACCGCTTCGGCGTGGGTCACTTTGTCCAGCGGCTTGTCGTTGACGGTCAGGATCTGGTCTCCCACCCTCAGCCCTTCCTTCTCGGCTAGGGAGCCCGGCTCCACCAGGGACACGTAGATGCCCACGCCGTGCTCCGACCCGCCGCGGATGCTGAAGCCCAAGCCCTCGTTGGTCTTGCTCCTCCTGAGGGACCTACCTTGACCGCTTCGGCGTGGGTCACTTTGTCCAGCGGCTTGTCGTTGACGGTCAGGATCTGGTCTCCCACCCTCAGCCCTTCCTTCTCGGCTAGGGAGCCCGGCTCCACCAGGGACACGTAGATGCCCACGCCGTGCTCCGACCCGCCGCGGATGCTGAAGCCCAAGCCCTCGTTGGTCTTGCTCCTCCTGAGGGTCACCTGCCGGACCTCTCCGCGCAGCTCCTCCGGGCCGGCGGCGGCCGCGGCCGGGGGGCGGGGCGTGCC